TGCCAGGTCGCGTTCGTGTTTCCGCAGGCAGAGGGAGCCGGAGCCCGGCGGCCGCAGCCTGCTTCGCTCACTCGCTTCCTTGTGTCGCCCCGATTTCCAAAGACCTCTGCGGGATGAAGAAGAGGTTCAGGAACGCAAGCACGGCCGAGGAAAGCCGTGCCCGCAGCGCCCAGCCCCGCGCCGGTGCCAGCCGGGGCTGCCACCGCTGCAGCCACCGCTGCAGCCACCGCTGCATCCACTGCTGCAGCCACCGCTGCATCCACTGCTGCTGCCACCGCTGCATCCACTGCTGCTGCCACCGCTGCATCCACTGCTGCTGCCACTGCTGCATCCACCGCTGCAGCCACCGCTGCAGCCACCGCTGCAGCCACCGCTGCATCCACCGCTGCAGCCACCGCTGCATCCACTGCTGCTGCCACCGCTGCATCCACTGCTGCTGCCACTGCTGCAGCCACCGCTGCTTCCCCCTGCCCTGCCCTCCCTCTGACCGCTGCCTTGCCCCTCCCTGCCCCTGGCCCCAAAACCCGTCTTTTGTGCTGCTTCTTCCCTGTGGGAAGGGGGACTTAGTCAACCTCCCTGAAGCAATGGAAGGTCTGGTTCCACAGCAAACCCCCCTGACCGATGGAAGCTCTGGCAGAGAAGGAGTCAGGAGTCCCATCCTGTCGGAGGCCAGAGCTGCTGAGAGGATGCTGAGAGATGTCTCTGCAAACAGAGCACAGCCCTTTGCCCTCCTCAGCACACACTCCCGTGGATATAGGGAACCCTGCATCCAGTTTTGTCTCCAAGGATCTTCTCAGATGAAGGGCAGACACTGCTGAGCTGCCAGGAGCAAGCTCAGTGTTGACACTGCAATAGCATGCTGCTCCTGGGCGCACACAGCACAACAGCCGAGGACAATCCACCAGGGGTTTGTGTGCTACAAACAAGGAATGGGCAATAAATTGCCAGTCAGAGCAGGTTAGCTCTCACAGCAAAACCTTCAGTGATTAGGCTTTTCTTTTTTGAAAAGAACAGCCAATTTTATCTCCAAGGATTTACCTTCTGTGCAGTGGGGGTGTGCAGATCATAAAGGGGAGAAGAGAGGGGGAATTGCTCGCTCCACCCTGAGCCCAGACCTGACACCTCACGCTGCCTGTGAGCAGGGAGCAGGGCAGAGGGCAAAGAACAAGTCCTGGATTTCTCCCCAAATCTGTGGCTGGGGCCAGGCCTTGAGCTTCTATCCTGCAATGTCCCAGCCACTCCAAGAAAGGTGTGACTGAGTTTTCCTTTCACTCACTTGATGATTTTTTGGTAACTGTAAAATGTAGCAAAAAGCATAAATACCACTATAAACTATAACGGTGGGCCATTAGTCATATGAAAAGTGTTATCCCCCTTGAAACACAGTTGAGATTGTCTTAGCAGAACATTTTGAAGCAATACAAATAGTAAAGCCAATTTTTAGGTTGCTAACATTGATAAAATACCATTTTTCTCTACATCAATATTGATAAACATGTCTTGAAAAGCTATAGCACTAAAGGTTAAAAACTAAAATTAACTTGTGCCTATGAAATTCACTTGCTTTAATTTATGTTTATTCTTTAAAAACAGCCATAAAAAGCTTCTTGTCATAATTTATTCTTGAAATGAGCATTTCTCTGAAGTTTCCATAGTTACAGATGTTTCTGGGTTTGTAGTGTTTGCACAATTGACATTTACTGCACAGTGAAAGCCTCTGCTTGATTTTTCTACCTGGAGAGGAGAACACAAGTGCCAAGTGTCCAATTGCCACGTTCTGGGGGACCTGGTGTGGAACATCCAGGGGCAACCTCATAAATAATGTACCAGTCACAAGGTCAGCGTGCCAGCAGACAGAGTGGCAGAGGGGCAGCTGCACCCACCCCGAGAGCCCGGCTGTGCCAGGACTGTCCCACGGGAGTGGCATTCCTGCAGCCCTCGCTGGCCCCCGGCAGTGGCGTGGCCCTGGGCCTGGCACCCTGCACTGGCACCCTGCAGTGGCACTTTGCAGTGGCACCACAAACCCAGCACTGGCACCTTGCACTGGCACCCTGCACTGGCACCCTGCAGTGGCACTTTGCAGTGGCACCTTGCAGTGGCACCACAAACCCAGCACTGGCACCACAAACCCAGCACTGGCACCCTGCACTGGCACCCTGCACTGGCACTTTGCAGTGGCACCACAAACCCAGCACTGGCACTCTGCACTGGCACCCTGCACTGGCACTTTGCAGTGGCACCACAAACCCAGCACTGGCACCACAAACCCAGCACTGGCACCTTGCACTGGCACCCTGCACTGGCACCCTGCACTGGCACTTTGCAGTGGCACCACAAACCCAGCACTGGCAGCCTGCACTGGCACCCTGCATTCTGCACCAGCTGCTGGGCTCCAGACACCGGGGTGCCAAGTTTGACTCCCATCAAGCTTTCCCAAGCTAGGACTCCTCCATCCGAAAGCAAGGCAACAGTGCAGGGAGAGAGGAGCCTGGAGGAGGCACAAGGAAGCCCAGCAGGTGCCCGCAGCGATGACACAATCCAGTTAACTCAGACACAGCCTGAGGGCCCTGGTGCCCACCCTGCTCGTGCTGCAGGCTGGTGGGATGCTGGAGAAGTCCTCTGGACAGCTTATTCAGCCTGGCTGGGTGCTTGTGAGGCTGTGGGTGAATGGAAGGTCCAAAGTGTGATCCAAAAGCCGCTGGGCTCCAGCACTGTCCCCAGCCGGGCTCTGCCCCGTCCCTGGCTGCCACTGTGCCCTCTGCTCGCCACACCGAGCAGCCACTGCTGCTCGCCCTCAGGTGTGCCTTGGAGGGAGTTCAACTGGCCAGAAACACTAGCAAAGGAAAAAGTGTTTTCACTATTAATTTTTTTAAATGCCTTTTTTAAGTGTTGGCCCTAAGTTAGCTATATTGACAGCAATCTCTAAGTCCTAAAAGTGAATATATGGATATAAAGTGCATTAATTTTCTCAGTTGCCTTGTTCCATCTTCAAAATAACAGGAAATGATGACGCATGTTGGGGAGAAACAGAATCAATTTATACTGAGGAAAGTAAATCCATTCTCAGCTGCTGTAACTCATGGGACTGTTACTTCCCTAAAACATGTGAACTCTTTTTTCAGATGTAATCCCATCTTCTTAAAACGCCTCCACTAGGACGTTCTTCCTCCTTCCCTGGGTGCTTGATTATTTTTGATGACTTCTAATCAGGCAACAATGAGAGCAGAACAGAAGTATCTGGAAGAGAAAACAAGGTGAATTAAAGCATTAGGGGTGTAACAAATCAGAAAATATTAGGAATTCCAGTTTGTAGTCCCAGAGGCTAATGCTGTTGAGAACTGCAAGAGCAGTTTAATGGGCTGATGTGAATGCCACCAGGTTAAACTTCTTGTCTCCCTAAATCCATTTTCCTCATCTCCTGTTGTTACCCAGATACTGCTTGGGTTTTGCTGTTTTGAGGAGCTTCAGACCATGAGATAAAAGCATGTTATGCAGAGAGACATGGTGTGGTTGGGGGTAACTCCTGTGAGAGGCTGCCCAGGGCTGTGCTGGGCTCCAGTGACCAGGCCCTGGGGCTGTCAGGCTTCCTCTCTGGCAGGGCTGCAGCCCCAGAGGTATCCCAGCCAGCCTTTCCCACAGATCTTATTCCTTGTGAAACTTTAATGATGACAGAAGTGCCTTAAGAAAACTGAAATTGCTTCTAAAAAGTGTTAAATATGGCTGAGAAAGTGCACAAAGCTGAACTGGATCCAGGGTACTTTAGGAATTAGAAACCATTTTTCATGGAATGGTGACAGGATCTTGTTTCCTGCATGGGGAGTTTCCTAGGAGCCCCCAGGGCTCACAAACTCAGTGGGGTTGGATATTAAGCATGAGCACACAGCCTAACAGGAGGGTTAGGGTTAGGGAGCAGGAGCTGGAGTCGAGGTGTTCCCACAGACAGCCCTGGTGGAAAGCGAAAAAAAACCAACAGGAAGCGCAAAAGGTGATGGGAGCTGACTTTGTGTGGCAGGCAGTGTGAGAGCTCTGGACGGTGCCAGCAGAGTGAGCAGCACTGGGGGTTGATGTGGGAGAAGGAGAGGGAGGGACACAAAGCAGGAGCCAGCTGTGGTGTGGGTGCCCTGGGAGGCTGCAGCAGGGCTTCGGCATCATGCCATGTTATAGACCCCTCCTCAGTCTCTTCATTGAGGATCTCTAAATTCAAGCTCCAGAGTAATCAGCAGCAATATTACCAATAACACCAAAGGCTAATTGGGATTTTCCTTTTCTGTTAATGTCTGTTTTTCAGCTCCTACGCTTTAAGTACAGCTGGCAGTTCCACAGACCAGGGGTCATTTTGTGGGCTGGGAACAAGCCCAGGTGAGCTGCGAGAAGCTGCCTGGGTGGAAAGGGCAGCAGTGGCTGCTGGGGCCAGCGCTGGCCCGTGGCACTCGTCCAGCTGCTCTCCTCATCCTCCTCACACAGGCACTGGCGAGGGCTGCGCTGCAGGCAGGGCTCGGGGCCCCAGCACCCAGCCCACGCCGTCTGCAGCATCTCCAGCCCCACTTTCCCCACTCTTTCAAGCCTCAGATTTCAACCAGTGTTTATTTAAATTCATTGGACATAGCACAGTTAATGTGTTTGAAGGCTGAGCCAGAAACTCTTAGCAGCTGGACAGGAAAATCTCAAACAAACAAACAAAACCTTCTTAAACTGTAGGCATTGCTTAATTCTTCAGTCTTAAGTACAAAACACCTTAGAGAAATCATCCATTCTGTATGAGTAACGAGGCCAGAGCTGTTTCTTTCCGAGGTACAGCCTTTGGGTTTTGGGTGGTGGCTGGACCCGCTGGCCCCGAATGCCACAGAGCCCCGGGCACCTTCCCCATGGCACAGGCATGAGCTGGGGCAGCCAAGCAGAAGCACAGAGCATCTTCTCCTCTGCATTAATGAGAAGGAAAGAAAATAAAAAGCACAGCCAGCACTTAGCTGTCCGTCCTCCAGGAGCACAGGCTCATTTCGGCGATGGATGAGTGCGCGCACACACAAAATCAAAATGGGAAACAAGCAAGTGGAACTGGCTAGAAGAAAACATTCAGGGTTTCCCTTTGGTAGGTTTTCCACACAAATACCCGGCTTGTGGATTTCCTGCCAATTTGGTTGCTGGTGCAGACTGAGGTTGATGCACTCTGGTTGTACACTGAGGAAGTGCTACGATAGCCACTGAGGCAGGGCAGCTTTCCCAGGAATGCCTGCCCATCCCTGCCTGTGCTGGGATAACCCTGCCTGGCA